GTGGACTGATTCTGTAAGAAGACAGTGAAGGGAGGGAATAGTGTTGCTGGAGGTAGAAGTAAGAAAACTTTTAGGAGGGGATGGAATTTCAAAGAGGCTTTGAAGGGTGGAAAGTCTTTGGGGAGAACAAACAAAAGAAAGGTGGCAGTGAGGGCTCTGGATTGCTGGAAAAAACAAACATAGGCATGCAGGTGTGGATAAACTTGGTGTTTACATGGATATATTTCTTGGGGATAGAAAGAAGGAAGGAGGAGGATTTGGAGAGGGGAATGGGCTGGAACTTGAGTGCCCGTACATGTATATCAGGGAGGAGGGAGTGGGAAGTTACCATAAAAGATAGACTAAACTGTTACAGAGTCAGTGTAGCTTAGTTGTTTAGGGTATGGGCTCTGGGTTTTCCAAATTGTAATCCTGGCTCCACCACCTATTGATCGTATAACTTGGGCAAATTAACTAAATTCTCTGTCTCAGTTTCTTCATCTATAAGTTAGGGATAATAATGGAACCTTCTTCATTTGGGTTGTTGTGCCTGGCTTATAAGTTTTATAAAAATATTAACTATTACCATTACTATTGAGAAATTCGTTGGAAAGTGGAGGATAGCAGCATATGCCACTCCAAAACATGCCACTTTGGTATATTATTTTCAACTTAAAGCAATTGAAAAGCAGGTAAAAGCAAAGATCTCTGCCCTCCCCCTATTTGCCTAAAAGCAGGACATAAGTTTGCCCCTCCCCCCCACACCAGGAAGGACAGAAGTTGGTCACTGGAGACCACTCTACACCCTTAATAGCCTGGAGACCTGTCAGAGGAAGCTACATAACAAAGTTTACTAACTAGCCTTCAACTTCTACTAGTTCTGTCATATATTTACTACTCCAGTAGTAAATATATTTGCTACTTTAGAAACTCAAAAGTCCTTTTTCTCTAAAAATTTATTGTTCTTTTGTTAAGATGCTATATTAACCCAAGTTCTAACCACCCCTTTGAATCACTCATCACTGAGTACTACCATGGGTATAAGCCATGCACATGTTAATAAATGTTTGCTTTTCTCTTGCTAACCTGTCTTTTGTCCCTCTAATTTGCAAGGCCTCAGCCAATGAACTTAAGACGGGTAGAGGGAAGAATAATTTTTTTTCTGCCCCTACAAAAGTCAAGGGTCAAATTAGGGAATGTTTTGAAAGCTAATAGAATTATTAGTGAGATCATGTGAGAGACTACTGGAGGCATTTTAGTTTTTTTTTTTAATTAAGTGAAAATGATGCTATTTTTTGATGTTAACTAATATTAGCTTTTAACATCAATCAAATACACTCAGCATTAAAATTTTATTAAGATTTTAATTTTTATGTTACACTGAATTTATATCTATATTTAAAAGGACAATGATAAAGCATACCAACAAAGACACTAAAACCCAGATCAAAGTCTTTTATTGTTAGATATTATTTCATTCTTCAGAACCAAAATGGGAAAAGCCAAAGCAGTCAGTATACAGCAAAGTTATAAATAAAAGGGAAAATTATGCGGGGTAATTGGGTGATAGGAAGGTGAGATTTCAAATTGAGAGGCAAAATGGACTCAAGAAAGCAATTATATATCAGAAAAACATTTTAAAATTTAGAGGATGATAGGCATTTTAGAAATTCAGAAATGGAATTTGGTTTGAAAACTGCAAGAGTCAAATGCAAGGGAGTACTGAGAATGGATTTATTTAAATAGTTGTATAAACACCAAATAACATTAATAATTAAAAGTAAAAGGAATCATGTACAGGGAAATATATTCACAATTTCATGTAAAAATTGTCTGAGCTTGGCACCCTCACGTACTTATCAATGAAAGACTGAAAATATTATCTTTCCTCTTTTCTCCCAAGAATATCAGCTTTATTCTAGAGGCTTACCCTAATTTTGTTCCACATCAGAATTAGTATCCCAAATTTCAAGTGGGTAGGAGTGCCCATCTCCCAAGACTACTCCCACCACACTCTACCTTACCCCAAATCACCACCACCTTTTGGGTGAAGTTCTACACCTAGCAAGGGAGGAGGATGAATTGTCCTCTAAGAGAAAAGAAGGTGGAAATCATTCCTTCTAGAAGGCTTATGTCATATCCCAGAGGAGATGATGGATGTGTCTAAAACTGAAAACTGCACACCCACCCTCAAATCTTCTAGTCCAGCCTATCTCCACAAGGTGGCATTTTACCTATTCACTGGCTCCTATCAGAACCCTGGCATTCATTTGTGACCTCTTTCTCTCTCTTACCTTCACTCCAATTCATTGAGTCCTGTCCATTATGCCATCGAAGTATTCTCAAATCTGTCTACTTTGCTCTATCTCCAGGGCCACCACTGCCTCCCCTGGCCTAACTTTTAGGCAAATCTAACTTTTATGCAAATTAGCATCTGTCCCTTCTCCTGGGCAGATGCTGGGGCTGGATTTCAGCCTCACTTCCCCTCTGGTGCAGGGCTTGATCTCTACAATGCTGCTTGGTTACCCTGGACCCCAGCCCAGGTCATCCTGCACTGTTGTTATCAATTCCTCACTGTTTTACCTACATCCTTGCTTGTCCCCCTCCAATCCATTCTTCACAAAACAGAGGGATTATTTTAAAATCACCAATCTGATCACTTTATCCCCTACTTAAAACCCTTCAGTGGGTTTCCATTGCTATTTGGGATGAAATCCCAAACTCTTAACATGGCCTGCAAGGTTCTGTATGATCTGGTTCCTGGCTCCCTCTTCATCATTACTAATACCATTTCCTCTTGATCCTAACTTTGAGCCACATTTCCTTGTTTCCTAAAACTTGCCAAGCTTCCCACCTCCTCAAGAGACTTTGCCTGGGAAGTTCTTCATGACTTAGCTTGACTAATGTCTACTCTTCCTTCAAGTCTCAATTTAAACATTACTTCTTCAGAGAAGCCATTCCTGAATCCGTAACCTACCGTAGATTACCTCACAACACTCTATTCTTTAATCATGCTTAACACATTGTAATTATATATTCACTAATGATATATTTGTTTAATATTTCTTTCTCTACAATATATTTAATTAGTCCAGTGTTTTTCATTTATCCAAGTTTCTACCCAGCAAGTTTAGAGCAAAGGCCATCTCTATACCAGCAATATAGTAGATGCCGGGCATATAGAAGTGAATAGACAGATGAGGTCCCAGTTCCTATGAGGGAAACATATGAATGAGCTAGCAAGCATACAAGATGATTACAGATTGTGATATCTGCTGTGAGGTAGACTGTGAACTTGTCCAAGGTAAGGATCTCCATCTGTATTGCTCATTAATGATCCCAAGCATGTTGCTTAGGATAAAGCTGGCTGCTAAACATAATTGAAGAATTTACTTTGTTCACATAAAGTCCAAAACAGGTATTTCTAATGGGTGGATGGTTCTCCTACAAGAGCAAATCCAGGGACTCAGGGCGCCTTCTAACTTGTGGTTCTGCCATCTTCAGCATGTGGCCATAGAAGTGGAAAGAGCATGGAAGATTGCTTGTTTTTTCATTTGTTTGTTTGTTTGTTGGTTTGTTTTTAATGGGTTAAGCCTGGATGGCTATACCTAACTTCAAGGGAGGCTGGGGAATGCAATGCACCTCTGTATTAAGGAAGAAAAGTAAATGGATTTGGTGATCAGCTAGTTCCTTTAATATTACCTGGCACAATACTCGCATTATGAAGAAACAAAGATAAATTAGAAATGGAGCTTGCTCTCAAAAAGTTTATAATCCATTAGAGTGTACATGGAAATCAATATTACATCTGATCTGGTATAATGAACTTCTAATTTCTAGGAATAGAGACATAGTCTTTAAAATGAAATTAATAAACCTTTGGATTTGTTTCTCAGGACAATAAAATTTTAAAAAATTAATCTATTTGTCCACTTTAATTCAGGATCACCTTCAAGTTTTCCATTTTTCATTTCCTATAGTTTTTAGCCTGTTCCAAATTTTGTCACTTCACAGCTTCTCCTTAGGTTTGGATGGTTGTATTAGGACAAGCCCATTGTCAAGGCAATCTAACGATAGTGAAAGACATATCCTAACATTTAGGGACCCGGTGTGGATGGAGCCACACAGTAGATTGGAACTTGGTGACTTGCCCCTAGATCACCACGTAAATTGTTTGCTTATATTTTTATGGTATTCTTTATAATTTTCTGCTCAGAAGGAAACACTGCAGAAATTTGAATTCTACTCCCGTGTTAAAGCACATACATGGTCACCTGTGTGTTGGTTTGTTCTTAGAGCTTTTCCATTCTTTAACTGTTTACATTTTACGTGTCCTGGAATGAATCTTAATATTAAAGGCACAGAAACACAGAGCTCTAAGGGATCTCGTTCTGAAGCATTTACCTTAACTTCACAGTCAATTCAGAAAGGACCTGAAATCTAGAGTTTTGATTTATCCTACAGAAAGATGGAAAAGTGAAATATTTCTGAATCCTTGTCAATTGGTTTTAGCTTACTTTTCCCAAATGAGAATCCTCCCTGAGGCAGTCGGAGAGCACGGTCCTGGATAGCAGTTTCGTGCACCGGGAACGAATTTTAGAGTCGAGTGCGGCAGGTGGACACGAGTGCGGCTGAGAACGGGCGCTGCGGGTGTTCCTGTGACCCCTGAACCGAAAGGACTGCACTCCCACCAGAAAGTTGGAGCAAGGAGTTCTGTTCACCCGGCAGGAGTAGGGTGTCCGGGGCTCCCAGGTCCCGCAGCAGGGCGGCCCGCAGGAGCCCCGAAGTGCCCGGCGCGGCGCAGCAGGACGACCGCCACGCCCCGCGCCGCCTTGTAGGCGAACGCAGGAAGCGGCGAGGCCCCGCCGGGCCGCCGTAGCGCTGCATCTCGGGCCGCTCCTTCCGCGCCGCCCTCCGCCCCCAGCCTCCCGGCGCCGCGGCAGTTCTGGGCAAGCAGCGCCGCCGCCGCCGCCGCCGCCGCTTCCTCCTCTGCAGCCGTTCGGCCGCTGCGTGACGCGTCGTTTCCTCCCAACATGGCGGCCGGGGCAGGTCGGCGGTGATGGAGGCCAGGCAGCGGCCGCGGCGGGTGCTAATCCCCACAGTAGCCAGGGCAGCCCTGCTCTCGCCGGGCCTCTGAGCTGCCGCCGCCGCCTCGTCCCTTGGCCCCTGCGAGACGGCCTCCTGGGCCGGGCTCCTTCACCGCCGCCGGGCCGGAGGGACGAGTGAGGGAGACGGCCAGGAAGGGACCCCTCGGGCCAGGTCTAGAGGCGGAGGCGCGACGGGCGCGGCCCTCGAGGGGCGGCTTCTCGGGGGTGGCGAGGACCTCGACGCCCCTTGCCGGTACCAAGACTGGTTCCGTTCGCCCGCCCCTTTCTGATCCTGTCGCTGCCCTCCACGCCTCCTCTCCCCCACTTCCACCCCCTCTCCTTTTTCTCTTCTCTTCCTCCCCCCCCCCGTCCTCCCCTTCAGCCGTTGGGAGCCGCGGGTCGGACGAGCCGCCGCCTCCTTTTGCGTCCATGTATGAGGGGAAGAAGACGAAGAACATGTTCCTGACCCGGGCCTTGGAGAAGATTTTGGCCGACAAGGAAGTGAAGAAGGCGCATCACTCCCAGCTGCGCAAAGCTTGTGAGGTGGCGTTAGGTGAGCGGGGAGGAGGCCCGGGGGATGGGGGGGCGGGGGCGGCCCGCAGGAGGTGGGGTCGCTTGGGAGCTCGTCCTAGGCCAGCCTCGCTGACCTCGCGGAGCCCTCGCGGAGCTCTGTGCTGTCTGGCTGGAGTTGACAGTAACTCGGCTGTATGTGGGGCAGAGGCGAGGTAGAGGAGGAGGGGCAGTTAGCGGGGCTCCGGGACCGCAGCAGGGCTTGGGATCGCGGGGCACCTGGGTTCGAGGGATCGAATGGAGAGTGTGAGAGGACCTTGCGGTGCGGACAGGATCCCACCCTTTGTGATGAAGCAGAAGATGAGCTGTTGTTTATTAGCTTGGAAATTGAGGTGGGGCCGATATGTCAGGATTGGGCGTGGGAAGGGTTCCATATCGTAATTACAATAACTTTTATTCTTTGGTGTGATACTTTGGGAAGATAGGCTGAAGTTGTTCCCTTGTTGACAGTCTTGAGAAAGGGTTTGCAAGAGGTGCAGCCCGTTCTGACATCTCTCCACCTCCGCTACAGGAAAAACATAGAGTAATGTTGTATCTGACTGGGCTGACCTGGAAGAACAAGACCAGTGGTTAAGGGGTGGGGGTGGGGGTGGCGATATAAAAGCGGGGAAGCAAAGAACCTTTAGATAAACCGGCTTTAGGTGACAGGGGAAGGGAGGGTTTGAAATGAGGAAGATGAAAAAGACAATGACACCCACCAGCCACATGTCTGGACAGTGGCAGCTGCTCTCAAGCTTGAATTGTGATTTATAGTTCAGACGGAAGAGATCTAGCGTAATGAAGCCCGCAGCAGGGAAAATCCAAACAATACCTACAGGGAGGTTAGGCAGATAAGGAATTGTTAAGGGGGAAGCACTGATAGATCTATTGCATGCATCAAAGATGAAATAGTTTGAGAGCTCAGGACATTTAACACAAAGATGAATTCCTAATGCTTACACTTTATTTTATGGCACTGGAAATAGACTAGGTCAAATTGGCAAGAAAAGGAAGCTTGTTAAATGGGCTTTGGAAAAAAGCATTCTCAAAAGAGGAAAAATCCATAACTTAAATGTATGCTAAAATTAAAGGCTCAAGACAGCTTAAAATTAGCTTTTAGTTATTAAAATAAACGTAAGGCTACTATTTAACTTGCTATAATATCTATACAGTTATTTCCTTAAAATTGGTGATGTGAAAAACATTTATGGAAGAAATTTCACCTTCAAAATTTTGTATCTTTAGAATAATGGCCTTAAGTTTATTTTTTTGTCATCTTCATGAATAAAGTTTCTATTTTGTTGTAGCTAACAAAAGACTGTTCCAGGTGTATGAGAAAAGTGTTGTATAGTGTAAAAACTGAAATTATATCTGGGTCCTAAAAGGAATAATTATTAAATTGGGGTGGGATCAGGGAGAAAGTGATTTTAGGATTTTTAAAAAAATTGTTATATGTAGGTTTATGAATAACTTGCAGGTTAAAGAACTTAAGTGATTCAAATTAAAGTTTTAGTTTTTGACAATTCAGATTTTCCACGTTAGAATATATATACATGTATTTGATCTCAAAATATTACAGGGTACAAATGTTTTTGGTTAGAATATATTTTTAATATGATGAATTACAAGTGTCAAACTGAAGAAATTAAGTGCTTTGTATGTGTATATATATTTTTCTCTCCAAAATGGTAACATAAGTAAGCATGTTTTAATGGAGAGCTCACTGGAATGAGAGTCTGGGATCCTGGGTTTAGTTTAAATCCCAGTTCTGTTACATTATCTGCATTATTAGGCAAGTCTCTGGGCCTTAACTTCCTTCTCTGTAAAATTAGGATATTGAACTTAATGATTGTATGATCATATTCCCTCTAATGTGCCATGAATGTGAATGTACTGCTCTGTTAACTTGTGCATTGAATATTCCTGCTACTCTTGAGTGGCATCTTTAGAGGGCCTGTAGCTCTCTAAGTGGTCCTTGCCATTTCTGGAGGTAGGAATTACGTGGTGCTGTGTGTGCCAGCTGTATCAGTGTTGTCTGTTCCAGATTTTACCAGTTTTTGCCTTTTTACCCCTTCCATATAGTTAGTAGAAGCTTATTACAAGGAATGTCACTGCTCAGGCAGGGGCTAGGCACCAGAGTACTTTCTTTACTTGTGGTGTATAAGACCTTTTTTCCACATTTCATAAAGTTGCATTTAGCCTCCTGCAAAGCAAAATCTCAGCAATCTCGTGGTAGCTAATCCCTGGTGAACTTTATTTCTTCCCTTCAGTTATCCATCAACAGTATCGCCAAACATAAATTGATAGGGTAACCCATTTCATCTTTGCAGAAAGTATAATATCTTGCAAGAAGATAGTATCCCCTAATATGTGTTGTCCCTGGAAACTATTATAGATCTCCGTTCTCTTCACTGTTGAGACTGGGCCAGGTCCACTTCGGTCTCTTGATAATCTGTGTGCCCATCAAGCAGGATGGAAAAGTAACCTGGAATATACTGATTTGGTCATCCTGGGTCTATAGATTGTGAGTGGGCGGGGGTTTCGTGGTAGAGATACAGAGGCATTTTATCGGTGTTTTTATAACCCATCTAAATACGCCTACATATATTCATTCTCCTCTCAAATATTTATTGAGTACCTACCATGGAGCTAAAGAGAGATAGACAGTAAACAAGAAAATATACATACTGCGTAAGACTTTTAATTTTTTTTGTTTGAAAATCATTTTATTGGCATGTGAGTAGATTTCAAAGCATTGGTATTCAAAATTAGTTCAGGCAACTTTTACCATAATGGCCAATTAGAAATAGATTTTCTGTAAATCATACTCATGAGATTATAGTTTATCATGTATTCTTAAAATGATTTTTTTTGCTAAAAAGTGTAACTTTCAGGAAACATCATCTAGATTAGGGGAGATTTTACATCATTAAAACAGAATCCATTCTCAAGACACTATATAAAGAACTTTTATTTTCACAAAAAGAAAAATAGATAAACCTTTAAGGGCTATGAAAAGTCATTTAAAACTTTTTTCAAATTTTCTTATGTCAGACTTTGTTTTGAAGAATGGTTTTAAAACCAAAAGAAACCAACTCTCCCCAATCCCCTAACATTGTTACAACTAATGTGAAGCCCAGGGGCTGGGAACAGCTCTAGGTTGCCCCTCTCTTGCTACCTGCCTTACTACAGCTCTCTGCAGAGTGAGGGAGTCTAGGCTGCCCTAGCTTAGCCTGATCCATTCCTGCTCTCGAGAATCCTGAATTAAAAATAGTCTGGCCATCTGCTGGCAGATGAGACAACAGCTGAGCTATTTTTAGTTTCAAAGAATTTAGGATTGTTGCGGGATTGGGCTTGAAGGTAGCATTGTTTTTCTCCTGGGGACAGCATAGCTGGGACGTATTCCAATCAGGCCTCTAAGTTTCAGGAGTTTCTTTGATGTTTAGGCCTGTAACTAGTTCATCTTCTGCTTTCTGACATTGGATATCCATGAAGATACTCTGCAAATGTTAGGATGAAAGAGTTCAAGGTTGGAAACTGGCACTGATGACAGAATAGGAGTGAAAGGGGTAACCAGAAGAAGGTTTTAAAGGGAAAGGAGGCGTATAAAGGCAGTGATAAAGATGCATTTCCTGCAGGAATATGGGGGAATGAGGGAGACAGAGAAAAATTGTTAGGAAAATATTTTTTGTATCAGTATGAATTTATATTGTTCATCATATTATAAAGTGATCCTACTGATTTAGTTTTCTTATACGAGTCTGTTACCTATAATTTTAGTTCCCCCCAGAAATATAATATTGAGACTCAAACGTTACAAAACTTGCTTCCTTCTGCCCCTCTAATCCCACTCTTAGTTTGATTGGTGGTGTTATAAAAAAGGGATGTGTGGGTGGAGAGGAAATTATTTGAGTGCTCTTGGCCCTGGTTTTATGGTACTTTGGCAACGATTAATTTTTGTCATTCTTCACCATTTATGGAAAAATGACTTATCCCCAAACAATATCCTGCCATCAGCAAGCATCTTAGTTATAATTTAAATCCATTAACAATTCTCCTTTTAAACCTTCCTTGATATCAAAATAAAAGGTGTTTTCAGTAAGCCAGGCTGCCTGAATTTTGGGGGTGGCTAGAAAAAAAGAGTATAACAAATGACATGACTGAAAGAAAGACACTATTTGCATTTAGGGGCTCTTTCTCCAGGATAGTATTAAATAAAGTAAATGTCACAGAGCCCAAGTTCTTAGAGAAGATCTTTGAAAAAAATAAATTTGGGTTGAAAAAATAAGTTTGGGTTACAGTGTGTAATCTGTTTCCATTTTAGAAATTTACAATGCACATGAATATAGTTAGGATGCTGAAAAGTCCTCCAAGAAAGAAACCTGCTCGATTTTGTTTAATGAAGTTTTTCCTAAGTTTGCTTGACACTTTTCAGTCGCTATTAACTCAGATAACTCCCGTACTACACATTGTTCCTTGGCACTTACTTTGGGACACTGTTTAAGGGAAAAGAAAGGCAAAGTAGGTACAATAGCTCTAACTACTGATCAGACCGTCTTCCAGAAGAGTCATGTGTTTTAGGAAAGCAGCAATCCTGTTGATGGTTCGGGAAGGAGAAGAAAGTCAGAAATAAGGAGCAGTTGGAATGTTCAAGATCAGGGGACTGTTTGCCGACTGGCTCTTTCTTTCCTACCCCATCTAGTGGCAGGTAACTAGTTTCTTTCTCCTGATAAAGTTTAACTTACACAGAGAAAATTGTGAATGAGAAATAATTTGGGGAAATATTTGTCATAATATTCCTCATATAATAGAGGAGGGATATTTGAAAAGGAAAAATACATGAGTAAATTATTGTTGCCATTCCAAACTAGATATATTCTTAATTCTGGTGTTTGTTGAGCTCCTTGTATGTGCCAGATACTGCTTCAGTGCTGGCCATACAGCAGTGAGCCAAACATGCTTTCGTTGAATTTATATTCTAGTGGCTTAAGGGTGATAGTCACA